CATGGCTTATAACAGCTAACATACCAAATCCAGACAAAACTTTATACTACTCATGATCTTAATTCAACAATTCTTAAAAACTCTTACCAATCACACACATAAGAACTATGTGACTGTTAATAACTCCTAGTACACAGCTTTTCAGCACACAAGTGACACAGCTTTTCAGCACACAAGTGACATATAAGAACCAAGGCAAATAAGCACCAAAGAATAGGGATCCAAAAACAAAAGGTTATATTTTTTTCAAAATTAAATATACTATAATGCAACATTGATCTGTATGGCTTAAACAAACAAAATTGGTGGCTGACCCACAACTCATTAAAACTCAACAAATTCAGCTTGGAACATGATAAAGCAAGGCTCAGCAATTAGTCAAAATCAAGGAAAGGCAATACTGCAGACAAAACATGATTGCAGCAGCTTAACACAATTACAACACCTTAAAGCATACTTATATAAACTATTGCTTACTTCACACAATAAGAAAAGATACTATTAAGCAAACAAAGCCCACAAATACTATTGCTTACTTCACACAGTAAAGACCAAAGAGAGCACGCAAAGGCAAGTGAGAAACCCCTAAAAAAACAAGACAGGTTGTTATAACACTTCAGTAGGGCAACACAATGTTCTTATAATGCCTACATACAACAAAAGAGAGTTCAATAGGGCAAAAGAGAGTTCAATAGGGCAAACTTACTGTGCTTGTAATCAATTGAGAAGAATTAACTATAACTAAATAATAGAAATACAGTAAATTACCAAGGAATTCTGTGCCAACTGTGCAGATGAATAATAGAAATACAGTAATGAAACTTATATTTCTAACATGAAAAATCAGTGGGGTTATCATAGTAATGGCAATGAACTAAAAGCTGCATTGAACCTTGAAACAAAAATAACAGGGACTATAATGGCATGATATCCATTTGTATCTGCAGCGGTGGAAGCATAGCTTTTCAATAGATGGCACATGTAATCTGATCATTCTTATCTCCAGAATGCAGATTTGCAGTATCTATATAATGGCACATGTAATCTGATCATTCTTATAATGCCTACATACAACAAAAGGTTCATATAATGGCCACATACAACAACACAAAGTTCCTATATTTCCAAAAGAGAGTTCAATAGGGCAAACTTACTACACTTTTACTCTGATGGAAATAAACAACCAAAACAGCACGTATAACACATAACCGACACTGTAAACAAAGGAATAGTAAAAAAAAAACACATAATTTCAGCAAGACAACGCACAAACAGAGGTTCCAACAATTTATCCAAATCAAGGATGAATTAAGGCACAATCACAACAACTCAACATTTTTACAATCTGAAACATTAAGATCAGAAAAGGAAATTTTCGATTAGAGTTCATCACCTTGCGGCCTCACGGAAAATAGCGAAGTTATGGCTTCCCCCTCCCTGCTCGTGCCCGTCGCGGCCGAAGTGAACTAGGGTAAAAGCCCCATTTTCATAACAACAGTAATGTTAAACTAGGCCAAATCAAAATATTCAATATTATTACAAATAACAATAATAAGGGGAACATTCGAACTTACCACAGACAATGGAATGATGAAGAATAACAGGTACTCTACAACGAACAAGGATCTAAACACCTAGGGCAACATGAAGCAGGTATATTAAGCACAAAAAAATACATAAATGAATAATGTCCGAAGCTACAAAAATGGTCGAATAAATAGCAATTCAATGGACGCACGAAAGCCAGGAGAAGGTAAATATCGAAATTGAGAAGGTAAATAGCAATTTTGGAGCTCACTTGTAAACGCGACGGAGAAGCCGAAGCTAGGGTAATGCTCGTCTTCGTTTCTGCAGAACCTAGGGCAAATTGGTCGTCTTCAATTTTTGTTCCGAAAATCGAATGAAATCGAAATTGAAAATGAGAGTAGAAGAGAGGAACTCACCTTACGATTCTCAGAAGCTTTAATTTCTTCGGTTCTTCCCAACAATGGCGTCGCCGATCTTCTGCAGCTAGGGCAAA